TCACCCTGATAATGATAGGCACCTCCTTGTCCAGTTTAGGTATAACCATTAGATCCTGAAGCTTGCTAGGTCAGCACAGGTGGTTGGAAGGAAGGCTGCTGGGATCTTTGTTGATCCTGAAGGCATTGAGCAGCCCTATGACCCATCTGTCACAAGTATAGCATCCACCGCTGCCTCTTTTACACTCCCCAAAATGCCTATTATTACACCTGCGGCATAAAGGAGCACCTGAACCCCCAAAGTTTCTGTCTCCGAAATCTAGGGCCTCCAGTAAATCTACCACCTCTCCTCTGAAAATTAGAACTCAAACCTCCATTAGAAGAGCTGGAACTGCCACCATTTCTCTTAAAATTTTGGGTCTTACGAGGTCCTTTAGAGGCTTGCCTTTTTCCTTTATCATCTCGCCTCTGGTTCCCATTCTTTTCTTCCTCATCCTCACTTTCACTGGGCATGTTCTTTGAGTCCTCAATCTGCAGTAAAACCTCATAAAACTCCTGGTAAGTGACACAGGGAGTCGATGTCTCTATAGAACGCCATTTCTTCTTAGTACCCAACCTGCAGCGATGGAGCATCTCAACCAGATTAGCAGCAACCTCCGGATCATATCGCGACAAATCAATTAACTTCGTATAATACTCATTTGCTGACATCTTTCCTTGCTTCAAATGGGTAAACTCTTGTTTCATATGATCAATGTACTTAGGAGGAATGAACCTTTTCTGAAACAACTCTTTAAATACTCCCCAGTCCGCAATCTCCGCTGAGGTTAACTAGTAAAACTCCTGTCCCCACCAAGATGCAGGCTGCTCTCCAAAAAACCAGGTAGTCGTCTCGACCCACCTATTAGGAGGCAGATTCCCCTGACTCTGCATCACAAGGAAAGTCTTCTCGATATGATTAAGCCATTTTTCAGCCCCCACATGTCCTTCATTTCCTATGAAGTGATTCAGCTTCAGATTATACACAGTTTCAAGAGGTGTCCTCTAAGGAGGACGAAACGCGGACTGAATGGCAGTAATTATAGCTTCCCCTAATTGAGCAATATCGGGGAAACTAGGCTCAGCTGAGTGACGGGGCTCTCTACGAGGCAGCATAGCTCTGACAGAAGACATCACAAGGATTAGAATATTCATGAATTATACAGGACTGCTAAACCTAGGCTCTGATACCAAACTGACACACCCCGACCGAGATCAAGGCATGTTGGCCGTCACGTGAGGGTGACATAGCCATGTGCACAGTGCGGTAGCAATAAGGATAAGAAATATATGAATAATTAAAAATCGAAACTACTAGAGTGCACTAGAAAACAGGAAGTGTTAGGAGTAAGATACAAAAAGTAAATACTCCTAATCAGAGCATAACAGGTCTTGGTGCAGTCCAGTAGGACAAGTACTAGTTATACAGTATCATAAGATGTCCTACAATTATTTTATTATGTCAGAATCGCCGAAGTCCTCAAGGCCATAAACAACATGCTTACTTAAAACCTAGAGGGGCACAAAACAGAAAACGTGAGTGGGCAAAAACAAATGTTTTACAAAACCAATTCATTTATCAACATTTCTAACCCCTCGCTGTAAAATATGTATAATTTTTCCCATAATCAGAATATAAGCATATACATAAATATATATGTAAATATATCAATTCAAATCATGCTTCACATAATCATAATCATATTCATATGTATGCTATGCCAAGATATAATAGAGTAAGTAAGTCAGGTGAGAATAACTTGATAGAAATAACATATTAGCCGGAACCCCTGTGGTAGTCTGTACGGCTGAATTCATAGCTCAAAAGTCAATCTAGCCGGAGTCACTACGATGACCTATACGACATTATACTACACAAGAGTCGGAACCAAATGAAAAGGTCTGTACGACAATACTGGGTGTAATATAATTATGCTCAATACTACTCTCACATAATAGCTGGGCAATAAATCACTAGTCACCTACGAGTCAGAACCATAGTAAAGGTCTGTACGACAATACTGTGCACCTAAATTGGATCCAATATGAGCATATGGTGCGGGGAGGAGACATTATAAACAGGCTTGTGCCAAATCTCTGGCTAAATCACAATCACCCTAGGTGCAGTTTTATGAGCTCAACGTTATTCAATTACATATCACATCATCGATAATTCACATAACCAAACATAACTCACCAGAGTTTACCTAAGCGTCCACAACACCACAATTATATATATAATGCATCATATACCAATTCATATACGAATTACAAATTTCTATGCATGCCATTCAAGGCATAATCTCATTTAAACATATTTTCTGGGAAAATATCAAGTATATAAATATATACTAAAAACCAAAAGGCCATTCACTGGTATGTCGAAGGGTCATAGCCCCCGAGTCGCCCTTGAACACGCTCGTCCTCAGGATAAGTCTCACCTATATGCGAATTAACTATAAAAACATTATTTAAAGCACATAGACAAAACTAGCTAATAATTTCTCATACAATGCTCAAAATGGGGTGTTTGAATATACCAACGTGATCTACACAACTCCACGAACATCCCCATATTTTTAGAAAAATTTTCCGACCACCCACGCGCCGTCACGCACTAGCCAAGGCACGGCCAGAAGCGCCGCCCACACGCAGGCACGTTCCTAGCACACTGACGGCAACCTTAACGACGTTAGGGAATATTCCGTTAAAAAAGTAGCATATACCGTTAATTATTAACGGCGTCATCCAACGCCGTTAGCATATTCCGTCAGTTTTGATGGAATATACCTTCGTCTTCTTCGACGAGTCGCCGGACGCCGGTGACTTCACCGGTTTCTGGGTTAATTTTTAAAACCTTATATCTTTCTCAATTCTTAACCAAATTGCATGAAACTTGTCTCAAAATGAAGCTTATGAAGAGTATAACAAATCCTTACCTTCCAAAAGTCCTAAAATCCACATAATTTCGTCGGGGAGACCTCGACAATTCCAGCAAAATTTCAAACTCTTCGATCTCGACTTCCCAAGGTCCCATTTTTTCCAACGAATCACCCCGAGCCTCGTGAGGACCTCCTAAAGCTCCATATGAGCTCCAAATTTCTTAAAACCTTCAAAATTACGTGTGCATGAATAGTGCACAAAGTCAAGGTTAGGGTTTCTCGGGTTTTCAAAGCTTTCCATTCCCAAAAATGGTACCAATGAACTCAGAAGCTTGCAAGGAACAAGAATCTTACCTTTTTGATGTCGATCCGTGAAGTTTGAAAGGGTTTTGGGTGTGGTCTGTACGGTTGTACGGAAATAGCTAAAAATAGAGAGGGAGAGGGAGGAGAGAGAGCACGGGAGTGATGTGTGGGTGTGTGTGTGGTCCCAGTTTGGTTTCCAACCAAACAAAACAAACACTTTAAGTCATAAGTGTTCTAAAAACTTTGGAAAAATAATGGATAGGTCTAAAGACTTAAACTTAAACCACACAACACAATTTAACGTCCAAGGGTAAAACCGTCCTTTCACGTCCTCGAGAATAAAAGAATATATATCTTCGAGATGGGCTGTGACAATTTGAAAAAGAAAAAACCATTGGGAAAAAGAATAATATTAAATTTTTGCATAACAAAAAAAAAAAAAACTGTGATTGGAAAAACATATTTGGAAGAAGAGAAAATATAGTTTAATTACTAATATCTCTATTAAATGAGGAAAAGTGCATCATGCAAATAAAATGATAAATTCAAAAATTATTTTAATTTTAAAAAATAGAGGTGACTATTGGTCAAAGTACTTTAATCAAATTTTAAAAAGGCATAGATGTTTAATTTAAATGATATAAAAAATAAATAAAAAACTGTAGGGGATTCTAATTTTCCCAAAAAAAATGTTGATCATTTTTGCCCAACAAAATTTTCGATTTTGTCGGGTTAAGTATCTTTGCCAAACAAATATGTGTCTGTCAGGAAAAATTTTGTCTGGCAAATAGTAATTTCTAGTAGTGAACTGATGAGTGGGAAAGCCGAGGAAATTACAACTTGTTCAAGTAAATGGGAGGGCCTGGAAATAGATATATAATACCTAAAACTTGTTGGTATGAACTGCAAAATCAACCACACTGCTTCAAATTCTATGGCATTTCTGCCATTAAAAAAAATAAAAAAATATAAGGTAAGGTGCCACGTTGCTATGTGGAGCAACTTTTAGGCGGTTACTAGTAAACAAAAATAAAACAAATTAACTTGTAGTCAGAGAAGGTTTGTTGATGGAAGAAGCAATATCCAACGGACCACTTTTAAAGAGACCGATCCAGATAAGCTTTGATTAATTTTTTTCAAATCTAGATTAGTATTTATAGTGAATACATTTTCTAAATTATTGAAAAGAAGCAATACCGAGCTTGTTCTTCACTTGATTCACAATTGTTTGGTCAGAAGTTGGACATATTACGTATCAATTCATTCCTTCGATTAAGCTTTGTAACCTAACTGATAGTACGAGTACGCTCGCTCAAACACAAAGAGAAAGAATGGATTAACTCAAAAGTGTTGATCGATGGCTTCATTAATTTATAAGACTTGAGGACATTATTGAGCAAATTAACAAATTCCAACTCAAATGAGCATCACGGAAGTCAGAGACAAAGCGGACACGCAAATTATAGCTATCAAAGAATTAGTAGAAGCAGTTGCAAATGAACGCGGGCCTGGAGCAGCTGCCATTGCACTGTGCGCTGTAGCGTCCCCTAGCTTTGGTGCGGCTGCAATGCTGCTAGACGGAGCCTTGACAGGCGCGGCAGATCGCGACTTGCCTGGGTTGGAAGAAGGTGCAGTTAACTCTGAAGGCAGTAATAGGTTGCTGATCTGCACCACCGATGTACTTAGTTCCATCGTTAGAAACATCTCAAACTACCATTGCTTGGTTAGAACCAGCAGCTGTTACAACCGAGATTAAGTTCCCATTTGTGACGTTCACGAAGCCTAGTTGGCCACTTGGGTTGTCAGTAACTTGGAGCAGCGTGTTTATTCGAATAGACTACGCACTAGGCAAGTTGTGGAACCTCTGGACGGTGTAGTAGTCCATGACAACATGGAGGCTCAGCACCTTTTTCTTAATCTCCATGGGCTTTTCGACTAAAGAGGCCATGGCACCGTTGTTGACCACAAAGATGGTCATGGTTTTGCGTTCACTGATCTGGTTAGCGACTTGGGTTTGAGTCAGGTAAGTGCTGAAGAGGTTGAACTCTGAGTTTTCGTTTAGAACTTTGGTGATGTCATAAGGTCCGGATGATGACGGAGGAGGAGAGGATGGGGAAGGTGTAGATGAAGGAGAAGGGGATGGAGAAGGTGAAGGCGAAGGTGAAAGTGATGGTAATGATGACAAGGGTGAAGTGCTTAATCTTGAAGGCATAATAACATTGCTAACTTGCACCACAAATGTCATATAAATGTCATCAGGAGAAATGTCTCGAACTAGCTGTACTTTAGCAGTAAAAAGTCTTCTGAGATTCTTTCATTTCTAAGCCTTCATCTTCTCTCATTTGCTTCTTCACAGCTTGATTTCTTGGGTTTATAATGGTATCATCGCCGGAAAGGCTTGTCGCCGCTCCAATCTCTGGTGATTTTTCCGCTGCTCTGTGAGATTGTTGCTATTCAGTGGGTTTGCCGCAGTTCTATCGATTCATGTATGATTCTGTAGATTCCGGAGAGATGTTGAAGCAGTCTGTCGGTGTGTTCTTCGATTATTCCGATTGATTCAGGTGACATTTTTCTTTTGATATTGGAAAGTGTCTTGGGAAGTGATGGATTTTGGTCAACCAACTCCGAAGAAGAAGACGTGTACATCAAGGATTCTTATTTTGAATCCTTCGCACCATGTTCACGACAATTCATTGGCTTTGTTTGAGCTTCATGGTGATCACATTCGTAGAGGAGCTGTGACTTGGAATAGCACATTGTCGACTATTGGAGAAGCTGTCTTTGCTAATTTTTTAATAAGGCTTTGTAGCCAAATTCTTCCTTTAAAGAAATAAAGTATTCACATTTTGAATTTGTTCTTTATTCTTCAAAGTGTTTGTGTTTTTCTTGATGATGTGCTGTACTTGAAGTTTTAAAGTTTAAAGTTGCCTATGTACCCTCGATTGAGGAGGGATCAAGTCATGACATAGTTCAAATGGGTGATGGGTTTTTGGCGATTTTGATGGTGATCTTAATGGTGATTTTTTTGTTTTGTTTTTGTTTTGTTTTGTTTTACCATACACAGTTTATGCTCTTGCGGGCCAGGAACATTAAGTGTCGCCTTTTAGGCTCGTGCGAACAAGGAGTGTCAAGTGTTACCTTTTAAGCTCGTGTAAACAAGAAGCATTATGCCGTGTGTAGTTTAGATTCATGCAGGCGAGGAGCATTGAGTGTTTGTTTTAGGGGTAATAACTCTTCAAGAATCTACCGTTGATGGGGCCGATCTTCAAGTCATCGTCTGCCATGATTAGGTAGGCACCGTTGGTGTAGACTTCTTGTATTACGTAAGGTCCTTCCCACTTTCATGTGTATTTGCTTTTTGTTTTGTGAGTTATGATGATAAGCCTTCGTAATGCCAAGACAAGATCTCCAGTTTAGAAAGACCTTGGGTGGACCTTCTTGTTGAATGCCTTGGATAGCCGTGCTTGGTAGCATTCCAAGTGTTGTTAAGCTTCGAGCCTTTTTTTTTGTGAGTGCTTCCAACTCTTGAAGTCGTAGCTTTGCAATTTCCTCTTTAGTTAAGCCTTCTTGTACAACCATCCTTAGTGAGGGGATTTGACTTACGAGTGGCAGGACAACTTCCACACCATTTACGAGAATAAGGCGTGGCTTGGGTAGGAGTCATATGTGTCGTCCTATAGGCCCAAAGTGTTTCGCTTATTCTTTCATGCCAGTCTCTCTTTGTTCTACCAATCACCTTTTTAAGGAGGTTGCACAGCGTTTTGTTGAATGCTTCTGCAAGATGCTTGGTTGGAGTATGATACATAGAAGATTTATGCTGCTTGAACTTGTATTTCTTGCAGAGCTCGCCCACGAGTCAGTTGGAGAACTATTTTCTGTTGTCAGTGATGATGAGCAAGGCACACAATGTCGGTAAATAATATACTTCTTGATAAAGCAGACGACAGTTTCCTTCTTAACTTCCTATAGAGGTACGACTTCAGCCCACTTGGAGAAGTAATCTATTGCGGCTAGGATGTAGGCATCTTCGATAGATGATTTTGGTGTGATTGGTCCCACGACATCCAATCCCTATGCATCAAATGGCTATGAAACAACCGTATGGTGTAATGGCTCAGGCGGTTGATGTATGAAGTTGGCGTGGAATTGGCAGGCTTGGCACCTTTTAGCATGTTCCAAGTAATCCTTCACCATGCTTAGCCATTAAGAGCCCATTCTTTTGAGCTGGAAGTGTAGCTTTGGTCCAGACTAATGTGCTCTGCATACGCTTAAATGTGCTTCTTCCATGGCTTGATTGGTTTCTTCCTCACCTAGGCATCTTAGAAGTATTCCTTAAAAAAATCAATGGTAGAGTGTTCCTTTGTAATAGAGGAATCGAGGTGCTCGTTGACGTACTTTCGAGCGGCCCCTAGGATCGTCCAAAAGCTTTCCATGCTCCAAGTAGTCGATCAACGGCTGTCTCCACTCTTTAGTGTCTACTGGAAGTACTGAGATGATGTTTGTATCATCTAGTAACGTTTCAGTGACAAGCGGGATCACCCATCTTTGGCAAACTGGCACGTCTACAACTTCATCTTCTTCTAGAGCCATACTTGAGGCTAAGTTAACAAGAGCGTCCGCCATTCGATTTTCTTTTCTTGTAATATGTTCTAGCATCACAGACTCGAATTTCTATAGCAGTTGATTTCTAGCCGGAAGTATGGGACGAGACTGATAGGGATTTATACTCATGTGAACAGGCTTAAATCTCCTATTTTACTTGCAAGAATCACAAGGTTATTGTAGTATAAACAGATCTCGCAAGGTCGTCTCCACAGGGATTATTAAATAATTCAAAACTAATCAGATTCCATTTAATTATTGTAAAGTAGAAATTGAAGTGATTGATTTTATAACCTAATTAAAATAAAAATGAAATTAATGAATTAAAATAAACAATCTGCAATATTAGAGCTAGAGGGAAAATAAAACAGTTTTGGGAGAATCAAATTAAGAAAGCACTAAGGTTCCACCATCACCTAGTCATCCTATGAATTTTTACCAATTCCTTATGATCTACACATGCCACTTTGAAGGTTAGATTTTCCTAATTCATATTCTACTTGGAACCTCCAACATAGAACGTATATCTAACATGCAACCCGTCCGGACGTTCGGATCAAATCTGAACATGAAAGATTCATTATGCTTTATGAAAATCCTTTGAAAAACCATGCAATCCTTAAGACGTGATATTCATCCTAAGTGAAATTACAATTATTAATCACAAGAAGCCAGCGTCAATTTCAGGGAACCTTCCGACCAAAATTGTATCAAATTACTTTTCTAAAGATCCTAATGGTGATCAGGCATTAAGACAATTAGATAGTTTTTATCTCGGTGATTAACAATTCAAAATATGCATGTAATCAATCATAAGCAATTAAATAAAAATCACATATTCATGCTAAGGCTCAAGGCTTCGCCCTAGCAAAAGAAATTAGTTCCGCATATTCATAATTGAAATCATAGAAAATATTCTTAAGAAAATGATTGAAAACACCTTCAAGTAGAAAATCTCCAAAACCCTAGTAATTCTCTTTGTCTCCAAAGTTGCATAAAATAAAGCGTACCAATATGGTAGACGGCCAAGCAATATATCTGCTAAGCCTCCACACCAAACCCTAGGAAACTAAAATTAATAATGCCCCCCCAAAAATATAGGAAACATAACCCTAAATTAAATGATAAAATTCGTCTAAAATCTGAACAGCCACGTTTTGACCCATAAGCTGCTCCAAAACTGGCCCAATATAGCTGGATTCAATGTTTGGAATATTCTGAACACTTTTCCAGAAGGCCACGAACCCATCCGAGGTCATCTTGGGCTCCAAAAACGCAATTTAAGCCCAAAAACGTCATTTTCCAACACTGCGCACTGCTTCTTTATTTCATCGTTAGAAAATAACCGCTTGGTGGAAAAATCCCAATTTTTGATACGATCAAGTTAAGTGACTCACGAACGTTCTCCAACTAGAACTACTCCAAAATTCGTCCATTTGATCCTGTTTTGCTCCAGAGGAAGTCGAAAGTCCTATATTGAAAATACAATTCAAAGTATCAAAATTCTTCCAATATATTAACCAAAATATACTAAGATTAGGGTAAAATATATAATATAAAATCTACTCATCAAATACCCCCAACCTTAGCTTTTTGCTTGTCCTCAAGCAAAACAAGACTCAAACAAAAATAAAAACTTAACAAACTAGACAACTAGCTAAAATTAACTGACAAAAATTTTCACCTTCAAAGTTGCAATCCATAGCAAATTTTAAAACTAGAACATCTTTTCAAAAGTTCCAACCAATCCCACCACAGAGTCTAAGCCATTTAGAATCAATTAAAAAAGAATTCACAAACTTCCTTTGGTGTAAAGTGAACCAACATAGTTAAGGAAACTCGACTAAAACCCTTACCTCTCGTCCTTCTTTATTTCACACATACTAACATTAAATATAACTATTTTTCTTTTTTTTTTCTCTTTTATAACAAATTTTTTTTTTCAGTAACAGTAGTGGTCGTGCAATGTCGGTTTACTTAAGCTTTCGATCCAACCCATGTAGCGAGCTTTAGGTCAATGACTCCCAAACCACTAGGGCTTTAGGGCACTAGGTGTAGAACACCCTTAAGGATTTATTAACCCGAGCTGAAAAGGCTACGAAACCAACTAACCACCCTGCCCCATGCCAAAACTCTACCGTTTGACGCGAGAATCACTACTAATTAGGCAGGACTGGCCCGGTTACTAAGCAAAACCTTGGGTGAGACAATTATTACTTTTTTCACCATAATAACTGACTTTACTTAAAACAAAAATTAAAAATAAACTTAGACTAAAAGTAAGCGTTTCAATCTCACTCCCCACAAACCATGCTGATGTGATGTGCAAAGTTCAAAGTATAATTCATGAATTAGTGTCTAAGCAATGATAAATAGCAAAGACTCTAATGTGGGATTAACCTTCACCATGTCCATTTGTTCTAACGTTTAAAATAATCTATGGATATTAACTTAACAAGAATGAAAATTTTTAAACTGACACAATAATAAAAAACTAAAATTTTACTTTCCCACCCCTAAACTTATTTCACACGTTGTCCTCAAGGTGTGGAAAATAAATAGAAACTAAAAAAAAAAAACAAAACACAACAAAAAAAACTGTGACACTAAAAAAAAAATAATGGACAAGACTATAAAAGAAAATAAAATGAGAAAATATAGAAATATATATATATATATATATATAATAAAAAGAAAAGAAAGGAATGCAAAACACCTGGCGTGTATTTGAATCCAGCAGGGCATGCCCAACTTTGGATTCATTTGCTTGAAAGGCATGCAGCTGGCATGCAAGTTGAAAGGATATCAGTCATGCAAACCACACGCCAACTCCACGTGCATAGCAGGCGTGCACCAAAAACCGAGCACCAGTATGTGGACATGGGAGTCTCTACGAGTTTTGATGAGGAAAGTGATGGTGTGCAGTGGCCCGTGACAAACACCCCAGTGGCCTAGGAAATCCACTTGACAAATGCTAATTAAACATTGGATTCCCTGCGACAGGAATGGGATGCAGCTGGCATCTTCGAGCACCGAGCCGAATGGTTCTTCTCCCCCTTTAATTCAAACCGAGTCAATTGAACAGGTATAGGAAAACTCCAGCTATGTACACGTGGCGCGCATCCCTACATTAAGCGTCTTAGGATGCCAAAAGAACGGTTCAGATCACCCTCATTTGCCCATCGTTCTTTCTCTAGAAAATCTGAAGAAAAAAAAATCTCGCCATTATCTGCTCAGTTGGGCACCCATCTCCATACAACCCTTTCATTTGCCTCAACCCTCTCTCTCTTCTTCATGGCTCTCATAAACGCAAAATCCTTCTGTCTCTTAGAAATTCAGCCACCTCCTCTCTCGGATCTCTGCCCTCGCAGCCCTTTCATGTCTCAAATCGTCTCTGCCTGCAACTGAACAACGTACCTCCCCGCAGTGTTGACTAGCCCATCCGTGGTAGAAATCGGAAACACTGACAGCCAAAGGTAAAATCATCCTCCAATCTTTTGTTTTCATGTCTCAGATTTATTTGTTTTAGAGAAATGGAACTAAATCTAACATATGCATGTCGTTTTAGCTGTGTGAGGACCCCCAATAATTTCAAATCCGAGACAACAACACAAGAACAACACCCTGAATCGCCATCTCTTATCAACAAAATCATGTCTTCCAAGCCTCAAGTCATCACAAATTCGAGTGCCATTCATGTAGATGGAGACCATTTTGCACATGCAACGGTAATCAACTCCCACCTAGTTCAAGATACATGTCTCTTAGCTTGCGAAAAATCTTTGCAAGTTATATTTTCGTGATGAGTCTCTGTGGAAGCTTACACGGATTTTTTTTTAGTAGGTGTCCGAGATGCACAAAGAGACGGAAGAGACAGACTCGAAAAGCTCCTAAATTCACGGATCTGCAAATTTTTAGGTAGAAACCGCAACCCTTTTGATGGATTGATTGTGATCTGATACTTGAATAATAACCCTTACTGTGACTGAAAAATAACACTCAAATCCAGCGTACAACCGAGAGGAAACAACCTTGAGCTTCTAGTCCAATGATCCCTGAAGGCAAAATAAACGGCAAATGTCTCGGCCTCTGCAAATAAAGAAGGTAAAGATCTCGTTCTGCTGCTTCTGCAGTCGCTAAACTCAACATTTACATGTTCAACGACAGTTCCTTATAATGCCATAGTTAACATGTATGTACTCATATTTTGGCTCTTTATGTAGGGGTATACGGATCCATGATAGAGCCAAGGAAATAGAAGTAAACACACAAGCTCAACGGATGAAAACAGCACAGGCCGCATGACCCAGATCGGTGCATCTGGGAGGTAAAATTCGACTCCCTGCAAGTGTAGTTGTTGTAGATCTGGTAAAACTAGCTGTACTCAGTTCTGTGGTGTATGGATCTGTGAGTTAATTGTGCTTCCTCCATGCATCGCAAAACTGAGCTGCAGAAAATTAACTGCTCTAAATTCTGTTTCTGTGCTGGATCTGCAACAATCTCCCCCAAACTTGCATCTGTGAATGACTTTTTATGTTGACTGCTTTAAATTTCCAGCATAGTGTATATGTGGTTGATGTGAACGTTAGACTTGCTGCTGGGTGCAGGATTCCAGCATAGGACGCGCTTTATTTTCCACGTTCGCAACCTGCAATTAACCAATATGTGTTAAAAGAAAAAAATAATAATAAAAATAAATTGGGTAAATAAAATCAACCTGCAATTTTCCATTTTTGAATTTTTCGTTGCCTTTTTTTTTATTTGTATATTTTTTTTTATGTATGTTTTTTTTTTAATTTTATTTTATTTATATTTAAGAGAAAATCCAACGAAAATTAAAATTAGGAAAGAGTTTAGAAAAATTGGGTTGCCTCCCAATAAGCGCTTTAGTTAATGTCTATAGCTAGACGTAGAGGAATGAATTGATGATCACGTCACTTGTTCCCTTTGAGTTAACCACTCTTTAATAACGTCATAGAGCACTGTGCTTCCAAATTTAATGGTTGAATTCTTCTTATACGCCTTTCTTTTTGAATGAATCTTTGTAAAGATATAGGTTCCTTTCCAGCTATGTTTATATCTCCATCGAGCTGACTTAAATCGTGTATTTAACACCCATAGTTTCCGCACTGGCTGAAATTTTCTACGAGGAACTTGGCTGTCAATAAGCTTTCTCTTTTCCATATAGATCTTTGCATGTTTGCAGGACTCGTATGGCATTTCTTTGAATTTGAAGGGCTTTGCAGGTGCACTGTCCGTTACCGCCGCTAAAATTTTCTGATCAGTAAGCAGCTGTCCTATAATTAGATTTGTCAGAGTATTCATGCATTCTTGCTGCTTAGCGGGTTGCCTTGGAGTCTCGGGAGAGTGCATGAGTGGCACACAGACTTTTGTAGGAGCAGATTCTATGGAAATTTCAAGGTCATCAGGGGCTGTTTCCTCCTTTGGGCGTGAATAACAGGCAGATGTCTCCTCGGTTCCTGCACCAACCTCTTGATCATCATAGCTTCTCCCACGGTTTACTGCTTGAATTTGAAATCCTTGATTGGTTATTTCTATGTACAATTCAGTTGATTCCAACAATTTAGATAGTTTGTCCTCCACCGAAAGCTCTTGTGGCACATTAAGCCGTTCAAAATACTGCCCAAGATGCCGTTTCAAACTTTGAGTGTAGAACTCTGAATGGGGATTGTTCCAGTTCCATTTTGAATTGTTTCTCATATTTGTATACTCCTGGACATAATCTGGAAAATATTCTCTCTCAGGACATTGCAAAATATCATGAGTATTTGAATTACAAAGAGCACAAACTGTAGGCTTAAATCCATAATAACCCTTTTCTACTAATGACACCCAAAGAGGTGGTCCACCGGGTGTTAGATTGAATTCAGGGGGAACTGCAAATTCCATTGTTGCACTGCTAAAAAAGAAACAAATTGTAACCTACCAAACAAAATCAGCAATTAAATAAAAAGATATATACAAAAATAATTAACTAAGAGTTGCTGTAATATGAGAAAAATTAAATAAAAAACGAAAATTAAATATTTTTTTATATGTATAAACAGGAATAACTAACTGAAAATCTGATTAGCAGGAATTATTTTAAATAATCCCTGGCAACGGCGCCATTGTCTTGATAGGATTTTTACTACTCATGTGAACAGGCTTAAATCTTCTATTTTACTTGCAAGAATCACAAGGTTAATGTAGTATAAATGGATCTTGCAAGGTCGTCTCCACAGGGATTATTAAATAATTCAAAACTAATCAGATTCCATTTAATTATTGTAAAGTAGAAATTGAAGTGATTGATTTTATAACCTAATTAAAATAAAAATGAAATTAATGAATTAAAATAAACAATTTGCAATATTAGAGCTAGAGAGAAAATAAAACAGTTTTGGGAGAATCAAATTAAGAAAGCACTAGGGTTCCACCATCACCTAGCAATCCTATGAATTTTTACCAATTACTTATGATCTACACATGCCACTTTGAAGGTTAGATTTTCCTAATTCATATTTTACTTGGAACCTCCAACATAGAACGTATATCTAACATGCAACCCGTCCAGACGTTCGGATCAAATCTGCACATGAAAGATTCATTATGCTTTATGAAAATCCTTTGAAAAACCATGCAATCCTTAAGACGTGATATTCATCCTAAGTGAAATTACAATTATTAATCACAAGAAGCCAGCGTCAATTTTAGGGAACCTTCCGACTAAAATTGCATCAAATTACTTTTCTAAAGATCCTAATGGTGATCAGGCATTAAGACAATTAGATAGTTTTTATCCCGGTGATTAACAATTCAAAATGCATGCAATCAATCATAAGCAATTAAATAAAAATCACATATTCATGCTAAGGCTCAAGGCTTTGCCCTAGCAAAAGAAATTAGTTCCGCATATTCATAATTGAAATCATAGAAAATATTCTTAAGAAAAGGATTGAAAACATCGTCAAGTAAAAAATCTCCAAAACCCTAGTAATTCTCTCTGTCTCCAAAGTTGCATAAAATAAAGCGTACCAATATGGTAGACGGCCAAGCAATATATCTGCTAAGCCTCCACACCAAACCCTAGGAAACTAAAATTAATAATCCCCCCAAAAATTTAGGAAACATAACCCTAAATTAAATGATAAAATTCTTCTAAAATCTGAACAGCCACGTTTTGACCCATAAGCTGCTCCAAAATTGGCCCAATATAGCTGGATTCAATGTTTGGAATATTCTGAACACTTTTCCAGAAGGCCACGAACCCATCTGAGGTCATCTTGGGCCCCAAAAACGTAATTTAAGCCCAAAAACGTCATTTTCCAGCACTGCGCACTGCTTCTTTATTTCATTGTCAGAAAATAACCGCTTGGTGGAAAAATCCCAATTTTTGATACGATCAAGCTAAGTGACTCACGAACGTCCTCCAACTGGAACTACTCCAAAATCCGTCCATTTGATCCTGTTTTGCTCCAGAGGAAGTCGAAAGTCCTATATTGAAAATACAATTCAAAGTATCAAAATTCTTCCAATATATTAACCAAAATATACTAAGATTAGAAGTATTCCTTAAAAAAAAGCAATGGTAGAGTGTTCCTTTGTAATAAAGGAAGCGAGGTGCTCGTTGACGTACTTTCGAGCGGCGCCTAGGATCGTCCAAAAGCTTTCCATGCTCCAAGTAGTCAATCAACGGCTGTCTCCACTCTTTAGTGTCTACTGGAAGTACTGAGATGATGTTTGTATCATCTAGTAGCGTTTCAGTGACAAGCGGGATCACCCATCTTTGGCAAACTGGCACGTCTACAACTTCATCTTCTTCTAGAGCCATACTTGAGGCTAAGTTAGCAAGAGCGTCCGCCATTCGATTTTCTTTTCTTGTAATATGTTCTAGCATCACAGACTCGAATTTCTATAGCAGTTGAGTTGCTAGCCGGAAGTATGGGACGAGACCATCTTTCCTTACTTCATATTCAATCAAGAGTTGATTGATATGAGCTTGGAGTTGCCATACACTTCTAGCGTTGTGATTTCCATGTTGATCGCCATTTGGAGTCTGAAAATTAGCGCATAGCACTCAGTGACGTTGTTGGAACATGGCTCACTTAGTCGGAAGGAATAGGGTAGTATTTTTCTTTGTGGTGACATGAATATTACTCCTACCCCTGCTCCGTCTGCTCGTGCAGATCTGTCAAAGAACATTGTCCATGTCGGCAAGATGTCGATGTAGAACACCTCATTGTCAGGCAAGTCGTTTGAGATTTTCCAATCGACTGGGATTGGATGATCGACAAGGAAGTCTGCTAGGGTTTGTCCCTTGACAGCTTTGGCTGGGACGTAGATGATCTCATACTAATTGAGAAGCAACACCCATTTAGCTAGTCGCCCTGTCAAAACTAGCTTGGACATGACATATTTGACCTGGTTAGCTTTGGCAACCAAATGGATGGTGTAAGCATGCATGTAATGTCTAAGCTTTTGAACAACAAAGACTAAGGCAAGGCACATCTTCTCAATTAGTGAATAGTTGAGCTCAGCACCAGTAATGGTTCTACTTAAGGTAGTTGAGCTCGGCACCAGTAAGAGTTCTACTTAAGGGTTCTTGTGCTAAAAGTGCTCCAATGGAACCTTCTTGTGCAACAATGTATAGGATAAGCGGCTTTCCAGGCATGGGAGCTCATAAGACAAGTGGGCTTGCTAGGTACCTTTTTATGCTTTCGAAGGCATTGCGGCAGACGTCATCCTATACGAATGGAGCATTCCTTTTCATGAGTCGACTGAAGGGTTGACAACATCCAGCGAGTTTTGAGATGAAACGTCTGATAAAGGCAAGCCATCCTTGTATACTTTTCAGCTCGTGTAAATTCCTTGACTCGAGCATGCTTTGAATAGCCTTAATCATTTATTGGTCCACATCAATGCCACGGTGCTTGACAATAAAGTCAAGGAACTTCCTAGAGATGACACCAAATGCACATTTCAATGGGTCCATCTTGAGGTTGTAGTGCTGTAATTTGTCGAACACCATTCGTAAATCCTTCAAGTCATCGGATCTTCTTGGCCTTGACAACTACTTCATCTACGTAACACTCTACGTTTTTGTGTAGTATATCGTTGAAGATCTTCTGCATGACACGTTGATATGTGGCTCCAGCATTCTTTAAGCCAAAAGGCATTACCTTGTAGCAGTAGATACCTTTTGGAATGTGGAAGCTGATAGTTCATCGTCTTCGAGAGCCATGCGAATTTGATTATACCCTGATGAGCCATCTATGAATGATAGCACCTCGTGGCCAGTGGTCGCGTCCACCATGATTTTGATGATTGGCAAAGGAAAGTCATCCTTTGGGCAAACATCGTTGAGGTCTCGGAAGTCTACGTAAACACGTATTTGTCTAGATTTTTTAAGGACAATGACAATGTTGGAGATCCACTTAGGGTATTTCACCTCTCGAATGAAGCCTGGTTTGATTAGCTTGTCGATCTTGGCTTCAATTTATGGGATGAGTTTAGATCGATAGCTTATTTAAGTTTGCTTTATCAATCGCGTTCCAAGCTTGATTGCAAGACGATGCACAACAATGGTAAGGTCAAGGCTAGGCATTTCTTTGTAGGTCCAAGCAAAAACGTCTTTGTACTCTAAGAGCAGTTGGTAGTATTCCTCGATCTCATCCACACTTAGTATTGCACTTACGAAGATAGGCTTCGGTTCCTCGTTTATGCCTAAGTTAAGCTCCTTGAGATCAACTGTGGCTTGCCCCCAATCCTCGAGCTATGGTGGCGCAGCAGTGACGTCTTCTTTAGGGACTTCGTCTTCTTTGTCTTCTTGTATTGTGATGTGGAAGACATCTTAGACCTTCTCTTCAGAGCCGTCATCTTGGGCTTGTTGGCATAAAGATTGTCCGGTGTGGATGATGGTGAGCCTTTCTACCTTTAATTGTCCTTTGTGTCAACTTCCAAGGTTGCTTGGCGTTTCATATTTGAAGGAATTGAGCTTCGAGCGTCATTTTTTTCTGTTGACCATTGAGCTTTTCTTCTTTTGGCGTTGTCTTCCTCTTTCTAGAAGGTTGCTTGGTTTCTTCAAGTCTCTCCAAGGCTGACCGTCGTGGAGGAGAGCTAGCCGTGTTGCTTGAAAGAAATTTTGTGAAAAACATGTTCATTTAAGCAACATCTATAGCATGCAATTAACAATTAAAATGCGGAATCATGCTTGTATGCACTTAAAAACAAAACATTAACCATGAAATTCAAAGCCTAGTAGATTGGTGAACCTTGACTCAACTTAAAACAACATTTGTTAGTTAAGAAATTATACCTTTGTAGATTCCTCTTTACATAAGCAAATGCTAATCACCCAAAGAGAGGGCCTTCATTCCTTGCATCTTAGATCTATGGATTTGGATGGATGAAATGGTTCTCCAAGTTCCCAAAATTGAGAACCTCTAAGTCTCTTCACCAAAGTTAGATTGGAGAAGAAATGAGTGACCTTGGAGTAGTAGGATTGCTAGCTAAACCCTCCAAGGAGGCCGGCCACTTAAGAGAGAAAGGAGAGCTTATGTTCTCATCCTTTCCCCAAAAGAAAACCCTAAATGAATTTTGGCTATAAAGTCATATTTATACCTTAATTCATTGGAGTGGCAAACTTGTAAATAAGTCCAAAACTCACTCCATCTCTAAATGGTCGGCCTTAGGGTATTATTGGGCTAATTGGGCCTTTGTGAATCATTATTCATTAAGTTGTCATACAACTTAAGTCAATGG